TATGCTGACAGAATCGTTTCTTCGGTTGTTAAACATCCATCGGCATATCCACAGATTAGTTCACCAATGGAATGACCGATTATAAAATCCGGAACTATACCAATGGATGTTAAAAGATCGACTATTCCAATCTGTAATATAAATATACTATACTATACATATAAAAGAAATATCTTTCTATTTGTTTTAAATAAAAAAAGAATTATAAAATAAAAATTTAATTATATTTGATACATATGAAATATATTTATGAAGTTTAAACAAAAAATTTTCCTTTTTTACCTGCAGTCCAACGAGTGCTAAAAATAAATTAATGATATTGCTGGAAATATTTTTATTATCACTTATTAAAATATCTGTAAGAAAAATGCCATAAGATCTCAAAACAATATCGCATTTCTGGACTGCCTTGACAAATACTGGGAATTTCATTAGAGCTCGACCTGCTAAAATTTTAATAAAAATTTTTTAATTCCTTAGCTTTAATATATATCTACAAATACGTACATATATGCACGCGCGCTCACGTACACACCACACTTACTCATTCCAGACCATTGAGATCCTAGTCCAGAAAATATGAAACAAATTGGCCGCTTTATATATTGATGCTCTATTTTATTAATTGTATTATAAGATGTTTTAGATTCAGTTATCATGTATCCTCTATAAAGGTGACCTTCTATGTTATCATTATGAATATGGTGTAACAGAGAGATGTATTCTATATCGACAGATCGACTTCGTACCTGCACATTCAGTATAAAGAAATATTTAGACGCCCCATCCTTTCGTGAAATAATTTTATTAACAATAATTATAATTGTGTAATTGCTGTAAGTAGATTATAATGAGTAACTATTAATAAAATAAAGAAATATAAATTTCCCTGATTACAGAAAGAAAAGTTATGTTCAAACATTTTGTTACAAATTTGTTTAAAAATGTTTATAACTCGCATAAATGAACATTATGTCATCAATCTACCTCATAACGGATAACTGTGATATTTATTCCGTCTTGTGTACACATATTGATTGTAATCTTCTTCTTAAGAAAATAAATAAATGATTGGAGATGTACAATTTATAACAATAATAACAATATTGTTACAGTAATACAAAAGATAAATATAAAACTTAAACCACTTTTAAAATAAATAAAATAAAATAAGATAGTATAATATTTGCTTACGTCATCTAAAATGATTTTAACAGCCTCCTTCGTCCGTCCAGATACGATTACAAGTATAGGTAAGTCGTTATTCGGTGCTCCATTATTGATTTTTTGTTTAGGATTCGATTTTAATAATATGTGGCAATTAGCTCCTCCAAATCCAAAGGAATTAACACCTACATAACCACCCTCCCATTCTGTTGGTTCAGTGACAATCTTTATTCTTCCTTCGATAATAGCAGTTAACTCTTTTCGCGGACACTTGAAGTGTATAGTAGGCGTAATTATACCAGTTTCCATCGCTAACAATATCTTCAAAAAATTAAATTTGTTTGTTAATAGTAATTCTAATTGTGTGATTGTTGCAAATTATTACAATGAATAACCCAGATAGCACAGATGATCGTTATGAAAGGATTTCACGAATCCTTTTTGAGTTCATAACGATCATCTCTATCTGGAAAGTTTAATAACGATATGAGAAAATTTAAATTGTTACAGTTGCAGTTTAAGCAAATTTTATATTTAAATGTTTTATTACAAATATTAACCTTTGCAATTTGGCAAAGGCCACTGGCGGGTTCGGAGTGTCCAAGATTTGATTTTATCGAGCCCATCAATAAAGGCGTGTTTCTTTTAGCACATAAAGTCTGGTCAATAGACATAATTTCCGCAGGATCACCCACTAGGGTACCAGTTGCATGAGCCTCCATGTAAGATAACTCACTAGGTGAGATTCCACATTCTTCGTAAAATTCTTCCAACAACATTTTTTGCTTTTTGAAAGATGGAAAAGTGATACCTTCTTCTTTAAAGCCATCGCAATTTGTTTTACCGTATACGAAGGTCGCATATATTCTCTTTGCATTTTTTGCTTTTTGCAGATACACTACTGTCATTGCATCGCTGCGCATATATCCAGAGCCTGCCTCATCAAAGGGTCTACAATAACCATTAAAAGATAGAACCCCTGAAAGAAATTGATCCTGTAATAAACCAAATTCTTCCAGTTTTGATTTTATTGCTGCATGCAAAAATATGCGATAAGCATTGGTAAAATAAACATTATGGGCAAAGTAAATTTTATTCATATTTTTATTTTACTTAAGGACGCGAATATAAACATGTATATCTTTCAGTTGTAGAGATACATTACGATATTCATATTAATTATTTTAATTTTGCATCATTAATTAAAACGAAAATATCAGTAATTTAAATACTTTTACTTTGATAAATAAAATTAGACAAATATATAAATATATATTGTCAGTATATTATAAAATAAGTATAGTATTGTTGAAGATATAACAGTATTGTTGAAGTATATACCAAGGCGATAAAATCCAAAATTTGCGTAAGGATGGAGGCATAGATTGGCGGTAGCAACAATAGCGGCGTCACAGTTTCCAGACCGGATCATCTTGTAAGCCTCTGTCATGGCGAAATGGCTTGAGCTACATGCACTATCAAGATTAAATGATGGTCCAGTAGTGCCGAGCCAGTAAGAAATTCTGTTTGCCACGAAAGATCTATTGCACCAATATGGTATTTCACTGAGCTAATTACAACACATAATTTTTTTTTAATACTTGAAATATTAGAATTATTAGAATACTATTAATAAGTTGTATTTTCATTTTTTATTTTTTTTTAGATTATTCGTAACTATTTATAAATTGTACACATTTTTATTTTACGTATTAAGGTATTCCTTTCATGACACAAAAGTCTTAAGAATTAACTGATTTTTTGGTACGAGAACGTTAAAATGCATATCTTTACGCCAGAAAAAAATTAAACCATATTACCGAACACATAAAGAAGAATTATGACTTTGAAAATTCGATATTTTATATGTGACGTTATCGAAAAAGTCTATTTTTTACATTTCAATGTAATAATTTGTTTATCAAATATCTTGAGATATTAAATATTAACTGCGCTACATATTCGCTAAACTCTAAACTTTCGAGAGTACCGATAAAAATACAGAGTCACCGAATATTTAAACAAAATATTTATGTTAAAAGTTGACTTGAAATGTGGTTTATAGATGAATATTTTTTATGGCAACTTTCAAGGAATTATTTGGCAACGCTGGCGCTGCAAGCTGTGCGCTCATGTCACACTTCATTCATAACGTACGGTTTATTATCAACTTTTATTTTCACAAATTGCCCCTTATTTTTGCCCACATTACTCTTCACTTTATGTTTCTTAGTTTCTTATCACTCGCATTATTATTATAAAATATCTCTCTTTGATAAAAAAAAAATGTCACAATATTCTTTGATTAATGAAATTGACACTTAACATTGACACTTTTGTTATCAACTTCACATTTTACAATCGGCGCCGACGGCGCCTTGAAAAGCGCAGCGTTGCCATATTGTTATTCTGACGGTAAAATTTACCGAAAAATGAAAAATTTCTAAATACACATAATATTTTCACTTTTTTCTTATAATTAAACATAATAATCAATTATAACTTGATTTTATATAAGTTTAATGCAATATACAAGAGTTTGCTGAGGCCCTGCTTAAACGGCTACAAAATACGCTCCTCCGTGAGAGAAATACCTTAAGGAGATAGATTTCCAAATTTTTAACAAGAATTTTACAGTTACGTTTCTTTTATGTGTACATTTTTATTAACATTATATAAATTAATTAGATTATTAAATATATCGTACATTGGATTTCAAATAGAGAGAGAAACTTTGTACATCAACGCAAATTCCCGTAAAAACACCCGTTCTTGTTCCCTGCAACTCTTTAGGATTGACACCTGCATCGATAATTGCTTCGTAAGTATGCTCTAGTATCATTCTAACCATAGGATCCATTGTATGAGCTTCCATAGCGGATATATTGAAAAATTCTGGATCGAATTTCTCTATATTGTTGATCTTACCGATTCGAAAAGGCATATCGAAGCCTATATAAATAGAATTATTTTCTATGATTATATAATGTTATGTACTTAGTTTTTTTTATATCAAGAATGATAAATGCATCAAAATGTCTTCAAAAAGATCCGCAATACTTCGATCTTTTCTCATTATGATATATACTGTTTAATTAATTTTCCAAAAACAGATAAACTACACCAAATGCTCATGTCCCGGTAAAAAATTTTTTATATAAAAACATCTAAATATATATAATCATATAATATTATATAAAATATTATAAACAAAGGTATAATAAGGCTCTGAACAAAGAATAAATAACGTAGATAGTGGGCTATGAGAGCCGACGCAAGATCTAATGTGCGGGGATATTATATTTAGAGATACTTAGTCAGTACATAAAATATTATATAAAATATGTCCATATATGTCCATACTATGTTTTTTTTTTCTTGTATAATCTCTGTTCGTATGTACAAGAAAAATAATAAGAAAAAGAATTAGAAAATAATTAAAAGGATAACTTTTGCATTGTTTTTTTTACAAAAAAAATAAAGTCTGTGCAAATGTGAAAAATTTGTTGATATACATATAATCATATTTTATATACATTCATATATGATTACATTGTATAGGCAAATAAATGAACGATGCAAAAACAATAAAAAAACAATGCAAAAATTATTCTTTTAATTATTTTCTAATTCTTTTTCTTATTATTTTTCTTGTACATACGAACAGAAATTATACAAGAGAAAAATACATATATGGACATATTTAATATATTTTATACAATATTATTTATATAATTATATGTATTTAGATGTTTTTATAAAAAAATTTTTATCAGGGTCAAATGACACGAAAAAGCTATTAGGCGCGTTCAGCAGAACAAACTGCTCAGTAGCAATCGAACTATTGGCTCTTACTTTTGGACCCAACAAATCAACGTAGCGTGTTGATAAGACGACACTCAACAGTTGTGTCTGCTGAATGCGGCCATTGTGTACGAGATAATATTTTTTTTAATACCTACATCACCAGAAATAGTATACCTAAATAACTCAAAAATGTTGTAGAATTACTTTATATAAAAATAAATTGAAAAACATTAAAAAGCAGAAATTAATTTTGATCAAGAAATTTTAACGTGAGAAATACACATCATAATTTTAAATCTCTTTTTTCTTAATAATCACAAAGTTGTGCCAACAAATATAAAATTTATATAAAAAATTTATACACACTATACATTTCTTTCATAATTATGCTTCGGTATTTCAAATATTATTATGTCTGATGAAGTAGAATATGATATGATTCTGTCAAATAATTATGAAATAAAATAGGTATCTTAAATAAAATAAAAATAATAGGGGAGACCGGGGTTATCTGTCTACGGGGGCTGTGTCTACAGTACTGCTATCTGAGGTTTTAAGAGACAGACGTCTCTACCATTAACAAATAGTTTAGAAATGTTAGTAATTAGTAACAAATAGTTTAGAAATGCTCTACATAAGAGATTTAAACGTTGTTCGTTTTCTTGCGATACTTTTCGCAGACGCTACATACCTACGTTGAAAGAAAAGCGAAAATAATTATTCACATTTTTCGACGGTCGAAAAATTTGCTGTGCGACAGTTGTTTAAATCAAATTAAAGTAGGTACTTAATAATATTATCAATTAATATATAGTTATCAGGTGTGAGAAGCATCGAATCTTAATTCCGCATAATCTAAAATTGGCAACATGTTAAAGACTAAAAAACGGGGCTATCTGTCCTATTTTTGATGGGGCAATGTGTTCACATTTCAATGATAGATTGTTTTTTATGAATAGATAACAATGCGTAACGACAAAAGAAAGATTTTCCTTACGACGGATAAGGTATAGACATATCTAATAAAATTATACTTACTTAGAGTAATTAAAAGAACAAAAATTAAGCGAAAATCTTTTCGCAAAAACAGCGTTAGACTTTAGAATAAATGTTCGGACTTTCACTCGCTATTGTAAAAGAGTGACCTACGAGCAGCTATTTGATCCTGCGACTCAAGAACCGTCACCAAATTTTCATTTTAAAAATACACGTCGTTACATATATGAGAAAAAAGGTGAGAAAAATATATGAGAAAAATAAGGTTTATTTGTATGAATTACATATATGAGTTTGTCTTAAATTATTAAATATTTTCTATTTCAAACGCTGCCGCGGATAAAGTAAAGGTCCCAAATAAAAAAAAAAGATTAAAAAATTGAGGGGACAAAAAATTCATTACATTAATTTTGCAACGGACTCAAAATCAGTTTGATGCCACCGTATATAAAGAAAAGTCAGCTCCACGCAGGAATCTTGTCAAAAAATCTACACAAAGTGCCTACTACTGCTCTGACTCAACGACTAGGCAGTTTTTTCAATATTATATATTAATAATAAATAATATTAAAAATAAGCATAAAAATTAATATAAATAATGTGTTTTTTATTATGTGGACAGATAGCCCCTCGAATGTAGACAGATAGTCCCGTATATAGGGCTATCTGTCTATGCTTGACTTGCCTACTTAAAAAATTTACTTTTTTAAGATGATATATAAAAGATTAACAATTTTAATTATTATTATTTTTTTAATAGCAAGGTTTAAAAGGTTATACCATTAAAATTTTAGCCAAATATCTTAAAAAGGTATTTAACCCAAAGAAACTTAGCATTGTTAGATCAAATATAATATCTATGATTACTATCTATAATATAATATCTATAACATAAAAATATATATCTATAATTTTATTATATTAATTTTTCATGAATAATGTTCCAAGTGTTTCTAATAATTTATTAAAGAAAAATCGAGCAAATCATAATGTTGTGTAGTCGGATGTTTTAATAGTAATCGAAAAAATCTTGAGCTACAATTTTATCGATTTCCTGGACCATGAGAAGAAAAGAAAAGGAAAAAAAATGGATTGTGACAGTACATTGTCAAACGTAAATATTATACAAAAATATACAAATATACAAATTTTTTTTCGATAAATATTAAAAGAAACTTAACTATAAAAATTAATCTATTTTAAATTTAAGAAATAAATGTTTAGTAATTTTACTTCAGCAATCGTATCTTGCTTGTAGTCTGGACGGTATTATAATTATAAAGATGAGAATATTCAATTATTAGAAATTAAGCTGCAGTAGCTTAGTAGCTGTAAGGAGACTAAAGTTTTAGATTATATAACAACTCAATTTTTAGATTTGTCACGGTTTTTTCGGCCAGAGCAAAGGAATGCTATTAGGAGAGTCGGGTGATAGGCCTCTCGGGATAATTCCTCGCGCGAGTCAGGCAGCTCTCGAATTAATCCGTTGGGCGCCAGACGCGATGCCCTTGCGTCCACTAAATTCTCGATAACTTAACGCGAAATCGCAAAAACCAAAGTCTGTCGCACGAGGGGCCAGCCAGCTCGACCTAACAGAAGAGGGGTAGGGTAGAGGCAGTGCGACGCGGATTCGTCGAACGGACACAAAATAATTCCACATAAATCGCTAGATATTTAATGAACAATAGGTTGCGTTTATTATATATAACTCAAGAAATTATATCAGTATGATTGAGTAGTTCTATAATAGGTTGATACAAAAGTAATGCCTCCTATTTTTTTTCAATCTGGCACCATAAAAAATTTTGCGTTTTATTGAGTTGTTGCTTAAGTCTCTAGTTATATTATGTTAAGTGATATTGTGATCAGTTACGTTAGTGTGTCACACGAATAGTTCAAACTGGTGGGTGTTTTAGATACGCATAACAGACAAAGACGTGCTAAAATTTCTTACCATGGAAGTGAGTCCTATTGAAATCCATTCGTATTTCAGAAATAGTGTTATCATGAATATTTCTGACGCGAATGAATTTTGGAACTTACTTCTTTCACGGTAAGAAATTCAACCACCGCTCTTGTCTGTTATGCATATTTGAAACACGCACCAGTTCAAACTGCTCCGCAGTGACACACTCACGTAAATGATCACAGTACCACTCAATATAACTCAACTAATAGAGACTTCAAATAACAACTCATTGAAACGCAAAATTTTCTATGGCGACAAAATCAAAAGAAAAATATTAGAAGGCACTTTTGTACCGATCCTCGTATGTTGATCTGAATTGTGATTTAAAATTTAAAAAATTTTTATTCTTTGAATTGCTCTAAAACAATTAATTTTAGTTATACTTCTTAAAAAAAAAGTTATTTTGTTAATTTAAAATAGATTATATATATAATTATTAGTTAATTTTTTTTTTGATAATTTATATAAGCCATTCTTTGTATACTTATGTTTGGCGATGTACTGCCACAATCCATTTTTTTCTTCTCTTTTCTTTCCATGTTCGGAAGGAGATCGATAAAATTTTAGCTTAGGATTTTTTTGTTTACTATTAAAACATCCGACTACACAACATGCGATTTGTTCAATTTTTTTTTAATAAATTATTAGAAACACTTGGAATATTATTCATTTTTGGATTTTATTAATACTCCCAGAGTTGCGGAAAGTAACCGTTGAATGCAGCTGTCAGAGTTAACTTGCATAGCTTATATCCAATCTTAAAAAAGGCACGTTACCTGAGCGAAAGCGCGCGTTTGTGATCTCTAGTTATATTTAAATAATAGATATAAGATAAATACGCGAATATGTATCTAGTCTCAAGGGAAAAGTTTATTACAGTCATTCCATCGTCCGTGATCGCTCGAACCAAGATCCATTTTGTTAAAAA